ACAAATGACGATCTTGTTCTCGACTAATGAACTTCAAGGCCAACTCAGACTTAATCTGGATCAGCGCGCGATGACTCATTATCATGGTTACTCGGTATGTCCATTATCGGAGAGCCAGATCAGAGCACACGTCCGGTTGCCACCATCTTCCAACCTGCTTTCTCGTGTGTCTATGCAGAATAATATATTTCCTCGACTTTATGTCCTTCTATTCGGAACTGAGCCGAAAGAACTCAGGAACTACGGTCTCCCATGGCGTAAGCTGCCACGGCAAGACAAGAATAACGCCACCTGGCACCCTGAAATGTCCCGATTCGAAAAAGACTCTTAGAGAACTCTCGTGCATGGTCCTTAGGTATGGTTCGCGTTAAAAAAAGGAACCCTACCTTTCGAAACAAAATGAGGAAACTCTATTAGAACCCCAGTCCCCTCCTATATGTACTTAAGGCCCGGATTACGTTTTGTGCGGTAGTCCAGATCAACAGCAAAACAAATTACCACACTATGGCTAGAACCCCAGAGTGGACTGCTAACAATGACTAAACGATCGCACTTGAAGTTAGTGCTAAGCTGTAGTTTCCAGCAATAAAAAGCCGCCGACCAACTCAAATGCTGAAATATCCTCCCACAATATACTCGGTTGCCTGTCTCAGTGGGTACCGGACGCGTCCTCGCGCCCGAATGTTACCTGTCCCAATAAAATTCCTTATTGGCTAAGTTGGTTATCTACTCCAAAATGTATCGGTCAATTCTGCGGCACAAACCATGTGCCTGATCCGAAAGCAGATCATTCGATAGTCTTCATATATTCTGTGCAGAATATAATGATCTCGATACTGGTGTCTATCTTCTCTTCTTATTCGAGCGTGCCCGCGCCCTGAGCTGCTGTGGGGAAACCCCCGCAACCTACTTTCACAGTCAGCATTCATTTGGGAAGAGGATTGGTTCCACTTGACCGTTTTACCAAACAGTTTGCTATGGATAGCTATTATCGTGTACAACTTACGCGTTATCATAATTGAGCTGAAACTGCCAGTGAGTAGCATACAAACAGAGAATCTAGCAGCCTGCAACTAGAAATTGTCAAGTACTGACACCAATTCAATACCAAAATAGAGTTCACCTATATTTGAATAACAGTTTCCTTATTTCACTCTATGCCATAAAGAGAATTTGAAATAAAAACTAGAAAGGAAAATGAAAGGCAACTTTAAGATGGCGTTTATAAAATGTTACGTTAGAGCGTATATTCGCACAAGGCGTCACGGGTAGCGATCACAGACGCTTTTTGGCCGCATAAGTCATCCAAAAGCACTAATTGTATCGACGATTCCCTCAATCGACTGGAACGATGTTAAGGACGACAGAGGCAGAGAAAACGACGACAGCTTTCGTAAGGCCACAGAGTGCGGCCTAGGTGAGAAACAAAACCAACAGGGGCAGGTCGATGAACATCAGGATTGTTTATTAAAAATAGATGATTCAAGTTCTTTATCACTTGAAGATTCCGATGCAGACACTTTGTCCCCACCTCCCATGTTCGACTCCTCTTCCTC